TACACACACACACACACACACACACACACACACACACACACACACACACACACCAGAAAATTATCAAATGTACCTCTATTAATACAAGTATATGCAACTGTGCACACACTGCCCTCAGAAATCATGGAAACTATTTTTTTTTTTTTGCTAATCACTTTGAGAAACGACACTAAATGATGGCTCTGCATTACATCATCATTATTCTATTAAAATGGGGGCCAACTGAACAAGTCTGGATAACAAATTTCCAGTGTTTAGTGGACACTGGAATATCTTATTTTAGATAATGGAATTTTTTTTACAACTAGAAATATTACTGTTTGGAGAATCCAACTAAGCTACTGTATGTACTAAAAATATCAAAGTCTATATTCTACACCTCAGTAATCACTAATTTGGCAACATTTTTAGACGTTACTTCTACTGCACATTTTTATAATGGAAGATTCTGGTTACTAATAGAATTAGCACTCTAATGTTGGACAGATAAGTTCTAACTAGCTTAATGTATTGTGAGATGCAAACTCCTTGGTGAAACTATGCTTTCCACAAACCAGTAAGACTTAGTTAGATTTCAGCATTATCAGCAAGCTTCTAGAGAAATACAAGTTCTTTGTGCATAGGCTGCATGTTTTATGCACAAACTCTTATGAGCTCAGCATGCCACCCATGCCTGCTTGTGAGTGTTTGTATCAGGAAGTTTATGTGTACTGGAACGGGTGTTACACCTGCCTTATGGAAAATGTTCAAAAATTATGTCTGTAACAATGTGTAATATTTATTTTACCTCTATAATTTCCAGCATCTCCACTCTTGTAATTTTACCATCTCCATCGAGGTCATACATATTAAAGGCCCAGTTTAGTTTCTGTTCAAAACTACCCCTTGAGGTGATGGACAATGCACAAATGAACTCTCTGAAGTCAATGGTTCCATCGCTGTTCTTATCAAAGGTTCTGAAGGCATGTTGGGCAAACTTTGAAGCATCTCCATATGGAAAAAACTGCAAAATAAAATATAAATGCAGTCATTGGATGTTCAAGGGAACAATCTGCATACAGAAATATTAAAGTGAAGCTTTTATGAAGACTTATTGTGATCTGAACATTTTATTGCATATTCTCAATTTATCAGCAATAATCCAGTATAGTCTATCAGTGCCTAATACTCAAAGTGACTCCTTATAAAAAAGTGCAGAGTAAATTGTACAGTAAAGCATTAAGAGCACTTTTCATAAAAAAAGAAAAAAAAGGGCTTCCAACAAGGAAATATTTTGTACCCACCCACTACATTATCTTCAAAGCTAACATTAAAGCAGATCATTCTTAAAGTGCAGCTATACACTGAGAAGTGATTGGAAATAAAAACAATAGGACTGAGGGAGCTAGCATTCCATGTTTGTTTATAGCAGCGACTTCCAGAGGAAATTTGCTTAGTTTACATGTAGAGAGAAAGTTTCTATCTTCCAGCCTTGCAAATTCAGCCTGTCATCTGAAAATCAAGCTGATTTTTTTCTGTCTCAAGTATCTTTCTTAGTAATATTCTGCATTTGAAAAAATGTAGCCTAATTTGATTCCAAATGAAGTCAACAGGGATTTTGCCATCCAATGCAGGATTCAGCCATTAGTTAACAATTCTATTGCTGGTGGATTCGATTCTAGCTTGAACAACTACAATTCTCATGGTGGGTTAGCTCTGCAGTATGAATAGCAATGAAAACCTTATCTTGAGAAAGGTAAATAAAACATCTGATCTGAATAAAATATTAGAAAGGGTGACCTTTTAGAGCCATTTTTTTGATCATAGCTGCCTTTTGCAGTGGGTTCCTTTAAATGGGGTACGGATCATCAGAAGTAGTTAAATTTACAACTGCATTTGCATTGAGATCTGTTCTAAGTATAGGAATTATTGCAACAAATGCCACAAGTTCAGATGAACAGCACTGTCTTTGTTTTTAAATTCAGTATGTTTGCTGCTTAAGAGAAATTGGGTGTTTTTCTGCAGTCAAGTACACGGGCATGTTTACTGCTGTTATTTTTTTGTTTATTATAACAAATTCACACATACAGTACAAAATTAGGAACATATGTTTACTTATGCTGATTTGCATAATACAAGTAAATAAATACAAGGAAATAAACTGAGATCCAACTAAATATTACATTATGCTACTCATATTTATTTCTCGGTTACTATTAGGTAAATATGCAGCACGTTCCAGTTTAGTGAAAAAAATTAAAATGACTGTTGCATGCATGTCTGGGCCTGAGACTTTCTAGTAACTGTAATGTCCTACTCACAGAGATTCTCTCATATGGGCTCAGTGCAAGAAAATGTCATTCATGAAGGATGTTTTCAAGCTCATGTTGAAATCCCAATGAGGGCAAAGAGACTTAAGTGCTTCCTGGCTCAGGACATATGTTCATACAACACCAGCACCATGGAATCTGACTGAGGTCTTTGGGCACTGCCATGATATAACGCCACAATGAGGTTGGGGGGGATGGGGGAGACCATTCAACATTTCATCTTAACTAATGTTGAATATGAGGGAATCATTTTAGAACCAGGGCAACCTTCCTGCTGTCTAGGACCCTGAATGCCACTGCACTGTATGCAGTGTGGTACAAGTTTGTACAGGGGCACATGCTGCCTGTGCACTGTAGAACAGAGCTGCCCGTGGGTGGGAGTAGGGTAGGCCTGGTATCTTGAGGACCCATAACTATGCACATCCCATCAGCCATTTCCACCTTGTGGGAGCTGCTGCAGTCCTGAGGCTCTGGTAGCAGGGGTGAAGCAGCTCTGCTGCTGCTAGTTTTTGCCCCTCACCTTCCTGCCACAAAAGTTGGATTCCTTATGCCCTTCGCCCTGCTGCCGGCACAGCCCTGCTACTTCATGCATTGGGATCAGGCTGTACCCCTCACTGAGCAGAGAACAAGATGTTCATTGGCATGCGTGATCAGGGCCGGCCCCAGGCACCAGCCGAACAAGCTCGTGCTTGGGGCGGCATTCCGCCCAATCCTAGGACGGCACGGCCGCTTTTTGTTTTGTTTGCCTATCTGGCCGCCTTGTAGGGGGCGGCGGCGTGAAAGAGGGGAGTGCCCTGCTAGGAGCGGGCTGCGCGCTCCGTCTGCCCCAGCCGGTGCCAGGTCTGTAGCAAGCCCGGCAGGGCAGCCCGCGTCCTTCCCTCCCCACCAACCGGAGCGGCGCAGAGGTCGGGGCCGCGTGGCGAGTGCGCTGCTGAAGCCCTGGCCACTCCACTTCTCTCTCTCCCCCCACTCCCTCCCATCCCCCTGCTAGCCAGGGCATGTCTGCAGTGCAGGGAGTCCCCCTGCACCCTGGCTCCGGCTGCCCTGCAGGTTTTTTTTTTCCCCCTGCTTTGCCGCTCCAGCTGCGCCGCAGGTTTTTTGGGGTGTTTTTTGCTTGGGGTGGCAAAAAAGCCAGAGCCAGCCCTGTGCGTGATTACCCATTTTTATCAACTGAGAGTATATTAATCTTGGCCCTGGGCCCCTAACCAGATATGTACATCATACATCTTTGGACTGTATTACGTTAAGCTACCATTATGAAGTACAATATATTTTAACCATTCACATTCGAAAGCTGCACTAATAGAGTATGTCTACACTAATAGAGTGGGAGTCTATACTCCCACTCTGGGTCCACAGACTCTCATTAGCAGGGTTCATATTGAAAACAGGTACATAGAGATTGCAGCTCAGGCTGGAGCTCATGACTACACAAGGTACACGTGGAGAATTGGGCCTGAAATCTTAAGCTATGTATGCAGCTATGCCTCAAGCAGGAATCTGGTCAGAGTTGGATAAAAAATGCAGTGTGGTTGTCTACTTTATCTGTCTTCATGCCCTTCTTTCATTCCGACCTCTACGTGTACTTTGCTGTAGTGCTGAATGAGCTGATGAACAATGTTGCTTTCCTTGTGTTTGCCTAAAGGATATTTGTATATCAGGCTGTTTTTCTGCTTGTCAAATATTTATGGTCCCAGGCATTACTCTCTCCCACCAATAATGACAGCAGCAATGTTAGAAAGGGACAAAGTGAATTCAAACAAATCTCCAGTGATATGTGTTGCCATGCAATAGTGCAGTGGTCCCCAAACTATTCAGGGTCAACCCCTCTTGCCCCTGGGCATGGGGCTGGCAGCTGGGGCCAGGGTCAGGAGCAGAGCTGGGTGGCACTCCCTCCCCAGGCTCCAGCTGTTCTTTCCCCTGCTCCCCTAGGGCAACATGCCCCACAGTTTGGGAACCTCTGGAATAGAGTCTTATGAAATGTGGAAGTTGATTGGAAGATTGGTGAATTATAGAAAGTAGCTTTAGCCATTCAATGTTAGAATAGTTTTGATTCCCATTAAAATGAAATAGTGCTACAAGACGTTTTTATAAAATATATGGCCATTGTACAGCTTGGAAAATCTGTTTCTTGTCTGAAGGGGCCTCTGCATATTCTCAATTGTGCGGTGCACCCACCTGCCCATAGCAACAGTAGGCTTTAGGAACCTTCTAGAAGAGCAGCACTGGGTGGGGGTGTCCTCTCATCATACCAGACCTGCATCACTTAGTTTCTAGTCCCCAAACCCCTCACCTCCTGCCTCTTCATGGTCAACATGCCCAGAGAACTTTTCCAAGGTCAAACCAAAAGTGTCCTGTTAACATCTTGTGAGGTTTAGACAGAGAATTTTAGGTCGCTTCTGCATTGCTGTGCAGTTTAGACTGCTGAGTGATCTCCGTCCTGGCTCCATGGCTTATTTCCAAAATACACCAGGTTTACATGGACATACCCAAAACCTGATGTGCCTCAAAGAAAGCTATTCCATGGATTGTTATTTCACAGTTTCATAGGATTTAAGGCCCGAAGAGATCATTCAATCATCTAGTCCAGTGGTCCCCAAACTTTTTACCTCATACCCCCCTTACTTCTGTCCACCCACCCCCAGTGGTTGGGCGCTGGAGCTGGAAGTGGGACCACGCTCGGGTCTGGGTCTGTGGCTGGGAGCATGGGGCAGAGAAGAGCTGCAGCAGGGAACCAGGGCTGGAGCAGAGCTGGGGGCAGAGTGGCGCTCCCTCTCTGCCTGATGTTGGGGTGGCCTGAGCCCCGCTGCATCCCCCCAGAGAGAGGGGTGCCCCACAGTTTGGGGTCCACTGATCTAGGCTGACTTGTATAGATCATGCCCTTAAACTTCACCCAGGTACCCCCATATTGAACCCAATAACTTATGTTTGGCTAACGCATACATTCCAGAAAGGCATCCAAGCTTTTCCTGAAGACATCAAGAAATGGAAGATCCACCACTTCCCTTGGTAGCTTGTTCCAGTGGTTAATTACCTTCATTGTTTGTTTAAAATAAAACAAGAAACAGGTGCCTAATTTCTAATTTCAATTTGTCTGCCTTCAGCTTCCAGCCCTTGATTCTTATTATGCCTTGCTCAAGTTGTGCTGCAAAATTAAAAAGCACACTAGTGCTCGCTATTATCACCCCACAAAGGTACTTATACATTGTGATCAAGTCATCTCTCGATCTTTTGGATCAGCTAAACAGGTTCAGCCCTTTAAGTCTCTCATCATAAGGCATTTTCACCAGCCCTCAAATCATCGTTGTGGCTCTTTTTCCTGTACCCTCTTCTATTTTTCAACATCCTTAAAATGTGGACACCAGAACTGTATGCAGTATCCATTATCGATTTCACCAAGGCCATGCACAGGGTGAAATCATAGCCTTACTCAACACTCCTGTTTATACAGCCTAGAATCCCATTAGCCCTTTTCGCCACAGCAACAGGCACTGGGAGTTCATGTTCAGTTACTTGTCCACTGTGATTCTTAAATCCTTTTCAGAGTCATTGCTTTCAGGCTGTGGTACTTTATTCTGAAGGCATAGTCTGCATTCCTTGTTCCTAGATGTAGTCCCTTGCACTTGGTTATATTAAGACACATCTTGTTAAAATGGGCTCAGGTTACCAAGCAATCCAGGTCACTCTATGTGAC